TTTTTCACTTTTTCTCTGAAATCTTTCAAGCCGGGAGCTTTTATTTAACTTTAAGAAAGCGGTGGCTTTTTTTTTTTTCAAATGTAAAGTTGTTGTTCTTTTTGTTTCTATTGTTTTTCTTCGATTCAGATGACATGTTTCTTATTTTTCAGAATTTTCTGCCTTTCCTCCCATTATTTCCTTTCGAGTTCGATATTCTCTTTGTATATCCTCAATGTTTTTTTTTTATATATAAATGGAGGACCTAGTCCAGCAAGAACTACAAACATATCTGATGCATGTTGAAAATCTATCCTCAATGCTTTTACTTTTTACTTTTAAGACTTGGGCTAACGGGTCTTTATAATTTTAGCTTGTTTGATGTGGTTTTATTGATAAAATTATAATTTTATCTGATTAAGGTAGTTAAAATCGAGATTCTACGTAAAATTAAAAGGAGATAAAAAATCATAAAACATAAAATTATACTGTAAAAAAATGATAAAAACATAAAAGTGTTTGAAATATTGGTAAAATTATTTTGATAAAAAAAAATCATAAAATCAAAGTGATAAATCGAGATTTTAACTACCATGAGGTCACATATGACAATTACATAATAAATTGTTTTAATTTAATTGACATTAGTTAATTTTTGTTTATCTTTTATATATGTCATGATATTCTTAGCGGGTTTATATTACAAGATTTTATAATAATTTCTTTTCCCAATTCCCACACCTAGCCAAATTTCCACCTAACTTGCAAGAACCATCATCAGCATTGCATTTTATCCACCTATTTTTGGGAAATTGCGGATGTATATTTTGGTTATTTCATTAACTATCCATTAACAAAAACTATCCTAACCCAACCCAACATCAACCAGATATGATTATTGGCAAACCTTTGATATAAAGCAAAGTTGTGATTCTTTGGAAGGTTCAAGCGCACAGTTATTGAGCCTAAAATCTTTAAAAGAATATAGAGGCAGCTGTGAGGCTGAGAGCATATTCTTTGAACAATGGTCGAGCGATAATTGAGGTTGGGAATGAAGTATATTGTATGTAAATGCGCAGCATATTTGGATGTATGTCACCGCTTAATGTGGGCACTCGGCACACATTGTGTTGCAGTATAATATTACATTCATAGATAAAGTTTATGCGATAATTGAGGTTGGATATGATAATTTTATATCCGTATAAGAATAATAAGTCTTACACTAAATTTTAATCATTAATTTTCATTAATCTAACACCTACAATTTATTGAAAATTAATAATTAATTAATGAGTGTAACCCAATAAATAACAACCATTAGATTCATGAGAATCAAAGGTTAAAATTTGGTGTGAAACTGTTATAAAAAAAAAATAAATTTGGTGTGAGATTTATTATTATTACACTGGTGTAAGTTGATCTTGTCCCAATATATATATATAGAGAAAATATTTTCTCATGTCGTAGGAGAGTTGTTTTCTCCTACTAGTGACTCTTCGATGTTCGTGCAATATTTTCTTTTACTTTTTTATTTTTTTAATAGATGTGGACCCCACATAAGATGTGTCTACAACATGAGAAAATTTTCTCCTACCACATGAGAAAATCAAAACCCATATATATATATATATATATATATATATATATATATATATATATATATATATATATGAATAATATACTTTGACACTGATGCCAATTTTTTTTGTTTGGCATTAAATCATAACCGTTGATTTGTGACAATCAACGGTTATCATTTATTGGGTTAAACTTATTAATTCATTCGTAATTTTCGATAAATTATAATCGTTAATTGACAGAAATCATCGATTAAGATTTGATATCAAACTAAAAAGTTTGACACCAAATACTGATGGTTGATTTTCATCAATCTAACGATTATAATTTATTGGGTCACACTTATTAATTAATTAGTAATTTCCAATATATATACGGTAAATGATCATTTGATACCGGTGTCAAGATACAAAGTTTGATGCCAAATCCAAATAGTTGATTTTCGCCAATTTGACGGTTATAAATTATTGAGATTTACTAATTAATTAATAAGTGTGAGCCAATAAATTATAACTGTCAGATTAGAAGAGATCTACGGTTAGAATTTGGTGTTAAAGGATTCTGCCCCCCATATATATATATGAAAAAATATTTGTTATTTTAAAATACAAATTTTTGTGTCATTTAAATGAAATTATATTGTTTTGATTCATAATTGGTTATTTTTCATATTCTCTCTCCTTTAATTTCTCTCTCTTCCTAATTTTACACGGGAGAAAGAATGTAAAAAATACCAAATATGTACTAAAACAACTCTTTCATTTAAAATGACATAAAATTGTGTCCTTTAAAATAACAAATATATTTTCTATATATATATGAGAAGGTTGTACTAATCACATTTTTTCTTACCACATCCTATAACCATTTTTGTTATTATTGGATAAAATAAATTCAATGACTCTTACTTGATCAAATTAATTGTTACAAGATGACTTCAACTGAGAATTATTGATTTCAGTTTATCCTACAATAATAAGATTAGTTTTAAGTAAAAAATGTTATATATATATATATATATAAAAGGAAAAAAAGTATCTAATATTACTTTAGACAACTTTGTCTAATGTTCATCGAAACGACGTCGTTGTGGATTGAAAAATTAAAAAATTAGAATGATAAAGACTATTATAACCCTGAAATAAATTAAAATTACAAAAACACCATGATTTCCGCCCCAAAATGACATTGTTTCGTTGAACATTAGATAAAGTTATCTAAACTAACTTTAGAAAAAACAAATATATATATATATATCTACATATATGTGAGAAAAATATTTTTCAAGTCTCTTGATATAACCTTATTCCGGCCATCACAAAACTGTCATTTTGGGTGTTACGTGAATTAATGAAGTGTGTTTTGAGGTGTTAGGATAATTAATGAAGTGTGTTTTGGGGTGTTAGGTGAATTAATGAAACATGTTCTTGGGTGTTAGAAGAATTCATGAAAGATGTTTTGGTATTTTTGATTGTTTGTTTATTATATGAATTTTACCAAAACACTCTTTATCAATTCTCATAACACCCAAAACAACGTAGTTTTTGGATGACCAGAGATAAAGTTATCTCAAGTGACTTGAGAAACGATAAACCCTATATCTATATGAGATATGATATTATTATTACTACCAATTAAAGCTACTACTGATGTCACGTTAAATATGAGAAATCATAACAATACAAAGATGAAAATAAAATAAAAAATTAAATATACGGAGAAGAAAGAAGATTTTTGGAAAGTTAAATCAGAACCGTTGAATCCATATAATCGATCTAACAATAAAACAAACTGGTAGTAACATTGATAGTAACAATATTCTATCTCTATGTATATATATGTATAGAAGATTGATTTTTTGTTTTGAGTGTAAGACTTAGAAATCTTACTCCCTATTTCAACTGTTGATATAACTCAATAAATTATAATCGTTAGGTTGATAAAAATTCAACATTTGAGATGAAGAGTAAGTCTTACACTGGTGTCAAAAGATCCCTCCCTCCCCATATGTATATATATTAGGATCATTTTACGCCGATGTAAGACTAATAAGTCTTACACCATATCTCAACGGTTGATTTTCGTGCATCCAATGGTTATAATTTAGGAAGTCATACGAAATAATTAATATTAATTAATCATTAATTACACTACTTACATGTATGGTTATGATTTCCCTCATTTAATACTTTTCTCTTTTGTATGGTTATGATTCTCCACATTTAATAATTTTGTGTATATATATATGACAAGTATTTGATTGCTGCACATACAACCGCTGCAGAAATGTGAAACCCCCCCACACATATATATACACACACGAAAGTATTAAATGTGGAGAATTATAACCATACAAAAGAGAAAACTATTAAATGAGGAGAATCATAACCATACACCTGTCGTTGCTGTACGTAAAGCGAATGCAGAAATGAATATACACACGAAAGTATTAAATGTGAAGAATCATAACCATACAAAAGAGAAAAGTATTAAATGAGAGAAATGATAACCATACACCTGTTGTTGCTAAAGCGACTGCAGAAATGATTTTACTATATATATATAGGAAAAAAGTTTCTGATGTTACTTTAGACAACTTTGTTTAATGTTCATCGAAACGACATCGTTTTGAGGTTGGAAAATTAAAAAATTAGAATGATAAAGACTATTATAACCCTGAAATAAATTAAAATTACAAAAATACCATGATTTTCGTCCCAAAACGACGTCGTTTCGATGAACATTAGATAAAATTATCTAAAGTAACTTTAGAAAAAACAAACCCTATATATATATATATATATATATATATATATATATATGGCTTATCATTTCTCAAGCTGCCGGAGATAAAGTTATCTCCGACTACTAAATCATAACAGTACAAAGATGTATCAATGGTGATAAAGGAAGAGAGAGAAAAAGAGAATCATAACCATTCAAAGATGAATCAATTAATATAAGGGAAAAAATAAACAAAACAACGTAGTTTTGGGGTGACCGGAGATAAACTTATCTCAAGTTGCCGGAGAAATATTTTTCCTATATATATATTGTTAAATAACGAGAGAGAAGAGAGGAACATTTGAAATAAACTATATGTATGTATTGATATGATGAAGAATGTACAATATATAGACACTCTAATGGGCTAAGCCCAAACCTAATACAAAAGAAATAAGAAAACCCTAATTACGTAAGAAATAAGGAAACCCTAATTACAATATATTTCTAAGATATATATTGATTTCATATATAATTATCACAACTATTATTTTTTTTTTCTTTCGCTTTTTTGACTTGTAGGCTTGTGGGGAGTCCATGAAATGCGCATACATGTAAGACAGAGTAGCCCAAAACTGAACTGGCCCATTGAAAGCCCATTGACATTACATGCATTCTGCATCAGTGCCAGTGCTAGCAAGTTCCGACCAATTGATTTCTTCTTCACTGTGTTTCCTCGTAGTTCTGAAATATGGATCGGAGCTCCTTCTCCCCTGGGACCCGGAAAACCCGACCTAAATCCGAGATATATTCCACCTTCGTGGTCCACGACGATGAAGAAGATGACGACGGCGGAACCTACCGGCGGCGGAAATCCGGAAGCGCGGGACCACAGGACGATCCGTACGCGACAATGGTCTACAAAGACAACGGCCACGGCGTTGGCGGCGATGACGACGACGACGAAGATTCGTCTCTCCCTCCGCTCCTCAAGCGCCTCCCCAAGGACTTCGGCGGCGGAGCGCCGCTGGACTACGACTACGACGATGACGACGAAAATTCCGGCGATTTTGGCACCGTGATCGTGAAGACCGATCGGAGCCGGCAGCGCGATCGGTCTTCTTCAGGATTGGCTTCACCGGCGGGGTCGACCTGGAAGGGTCGGAGTTATTCTCAGGCGAGTCCTATGAACAGGCTCGGCGGCGGCGAGGTTGATGATGAAGACGACGGAGAAGACAGCGGAGGTTTTTCAACCTTTGTTGTGCGTTCGACGGTGAGGTCCGGCGAGAGAGAGACTGTAAGCGGAACGGTGGTGCGGCGGACGAGTGGCAGCGGCGGCAGTTCGACGATGGAGAGGGCGGTGGCGAGCATGCAAGCTGTGGGAGAAGTTGGATTCGGGAAGCAGAGGAAGGGAAGTGGATCCTCGCATAACGAGGAGGGTAGGCAGCAATTAGTAACGACCAAGGTATCGTCGAGTTCGATCCCTGATAGTGTTATCAGAGAGGATCCTACGACCAAGTACGAATTGCTCAACGAACTTGGTAGGTACTTTTATATTCACTCGTGCTTTTCATTTCTAATGGATTACGTATTTTGAATTGTTGTAACAATGGTGTTGTTGAAGTTTGGTTTTCGTGGGTGATGGATGGCAGGGAAGGGGTCCTATGGGGCTGTTTACAAAGCTAGGGATTTTAGAACCTCAGAGATGGTTGCTATCAAAGTCATATCATTATCTGAAGGGGTGAGTTTCTGTTCTTTTTATGTTCAGATTAGATACTTGCATTCGGTCATTTGATTAGTTAGACTGAGTTTGAGCTGTTGCCAATGAACGAAGATGATTCTTGTGCTTATTAGGAGGAGGGATATGAGGAAATCCGTGGTGAGATTGAGATGTTACAACAATGTAATCATCCGAATGTTGTCCGTTATCTTGGAAGCTATCAAGGAGAAGAGTATCTTTGGGTAAGAAGTCTTTTCTAACCTGAACTCATTGTTCATATGGCACTGTATTTTTGAAACTCTTTCTGGATTGAGAGTTTTCTAGTTACTTGCGAGTAATGATGTGTTCTGTTTGTGTGAGCTTCCTTATGGTTATGGTGATTAGCTAATGATTTTTTTGGAGGGATGTCTTTGATAAATATGATGAGAGACAGGCAATCTTTTTCTTGTTTGGCTTTTGTTTGTTATTGTTTCTTTCACTAGGACCCCTTTTTTCAATCCTGATTTTCAACTGATGTGCTTACCTACTCCCTACCTCTTTTGTATAAACTTTCTTAATGCAAATGACGTGTCTGATTTTTCTTGTTAGAATATGGTTTCTGTTAGAATATTAGATATGATATGATTAGATAGGATTGGATACCATCTTATCCGTAAATATTCTGACTGTATTAGGATTAGGTTTGGGCCTTTCACTTAAGCCCATTAGGGTCTCTATATATTGTAACTCTCTGACACAGATCAATACACAACATATTATTTTATATTCAAGTTGGTATCAGAGCTCTTTCGTTCTGGGAACCCTCGCTTCCGCTTAGAAACCTTGTTTTTTGCTTTAAAACCTAAGCCCACTGCTTAGGAGTCCTCTTTCTTGCCGTGCGTCCTTCCGGCAAGCCTTTTAGGGCTGTAAACAGCCTCTGAGTGATTTTTCCAAACGCGTCAGCACCTCCGACGGCCACCGGAACCACCGCCCGCCGTCAGAATCACTGTTCAGGCAACCGGAGACTTTTTCCGGCGACTTTTCCGACCAAACTTCACGCGATCAGGACCCTCTCTTCCCGGCGACCAGGTCTGTGGTGGTCCGGTCAGCAACGCATCTCCCATGCGCCGTCACGCGCCACCTGTCTTCTCTGCGCGTGGGCTTCACGCGCCACCTTCTGCCGGCGCGTGAGCACTATTCCGGCGGCTTTTTCCGACCGGTCTTGGACAGAGAAGCTCGCCTTCTCCTCCCCTTTCTGGATCTGTGATTGTTTCTCTGTGGGTCTGACCTTAGACGCGTGGTTCTTCTTGATTGGATATCGTTTGTCTTCGTTTACGGCTTTTATATTTTATCTTTAAATGGCAGCAGCATCTCCTGATCTCTCGGAGGTTAACTCTCCTTCTATTGTTGCAAATATAGCTCAGTCAGACAATGCATCATTTGGTTCAGGTTCGGACTATGCTGCACTCCAAACCCCTCTCAGGAAGGCTTCTCCTCAGTCTCAGCCTTATACTGGTAATCCCGTTGCTTGTGTTTCTCATTCTACATCACTTGGCACTTGGATATTTGACTCCGGAGCTACCGATCATCTCTGTGGTAATAAGGAACTCTTTACATCTCTTACTTATTCTGATCATTTACCGTCTTTTACCCTTGCGGATGGAACCAAAGCCCCAGTTCGTGGGATTGGACAAGCTCGTCCGACCTCTACCTTGGCCCTGACATCTGTCTATTACATTCCTGGCATCCCTTATAACTTAATTTCTATTAGTAAGTTGATCGACTCCCTCACTTGCACCATTACTTTCTCTAACCATTCTGTTTCTGTGCAGGATCCGGGTACGGGGAAAATGATTGGAGTGGGTCGTGAGTCACGGGGGCTTTATTATCTGGATGTGCCTCGTCCTTCAGTAGCATGCTCTCTCACAGAATCTCCACAACTTATCCACAGTCGCCTTGGTCATCCAAGTCTTTCAAAGTTGCAGAAAATGGTTCCTCTTTTGTCCGGTCTTCAGTCTTTAGATTGTGTGTCATGTCAACAAGGGAAGCATACACGCTCCTCTTTTGCCAGTCGAGTCAATAAACGAGCTGATGCCCCTTTCTCTCTTGTTCATTCAGATATCTGGGGTCCAAGTCGTACCTTGTCTGTCTTAGGTTTTCGGTATTTCGTTACCTTTATTGATGATTTTTCCCGTTGCACTTGGACCTATTTAATGAAAAATCGTTCCGAGTTATTTTCAATTTATAAAAAGTTTTCTACTGAGATCCATACTCAATTTGGTGTTTCTATTCGTATTCTACGTAGTGATAATGCTAAGGAATATGTTTCTATTGATTTTTCTAATTTCTTGGCCACACAAGGTACTTTACATCAAACTACTTGTCCTCACACTCCACAACAAAATGGGGTGGCTGAACGTAAAAACAGACATCTCATTGAAACTGCCCGTAACCTTCTTATTCATATGCAGGTTCCCCTTCACTTCTGGGCAGATGCTGTACTCATCTCTTGTTTTCTCATCAATCGCATGCCTTCATCTGTGCTCCACAATGACATTCCTTATAATCTATTGCTTCCAGATGTTCCTCTTTATCCTCTAACTCCACATGTCTTTGGTTGTACTTGTTTTGTTCATGATCTCACTCCTGGTAAGGATAAGTTAACATCCAAAGCCTTTCAGTGTATCTTTCTTGGTTATTCTCGTCTTCAAAAGGGTTATCGTTGTTATTCTCCCGACCTTAAGCGTTACTTAGTTTCCGCTGATGTCACTTTTCTTGATCAACAACCCTTTAATTCTATCCCATCTCAGATGTCACAGGTTGATCATGTACTTCCTGTCCCTTTTCTTGACTTGTCTTTGCCAGCTGCAGGTGCTTCTATTCCAGATGAGCAACCTATTGCTTCTATACCTGAGGACCGTCCACTTCTCACCTATCAGCGTCGCAAAACTGTGCCTCCTGTCGACTCGACTCTTGCTGACTCATCGCCCACTGCTGTTGCTTCTTCCCCTCCGGATCCTCCATCAGAGACTCTTCCCATTGCTCAAAGAAAAGGTACACGTACTACTCGTAACCCTTATCCTCTTTATACCTTTTTGAGTTATGACGGTCTTTCTTCACCTCATTTCACCTTTGTTTCTAGTCTTTCTTCTATTTCTATTCCTAAAACCACAGGTGAAGCACTTTCCCACCCAGGGTGGCGCCAAGCAATGCTTGATGAGATGACTGCACTTCATTCCAATGGCACTTGGGACCTTGTTTCTGCTCCTCCAGAGAAATCTATAGTTGGTTGTCGCTGGGTTTTTACTGTGAAAGTTGGACCTGATGGCCATATTGATCGTCTCAAGGCACGTTTAGTTGCCAAGGGTTTTACTCAAATCTTTGGCCTTGATTATAGCGATACATTTTCTCCGGTCGCTAAGATGGCGTCAGTCCGTCTCTTTCTTGCCCTTGCTGCTGTTCGTCACTGGCCACTCCTTCAACTTGACATCAAAAATGCCTTTCTTCATGGTGATTTACAAGACGAAGTTTACATGGAGCAACCATCTGGTTTTGTTGCTCAGGGGAGTCTAGAAAGGTGTGTCGTCTTCGGAAATCCTTATATGGTCTCAAGCAGTCTCCTCGAGCATGGTTCAGTCGCTTCAGTTCTGCTGTTCAGGCGTTTGGCTTAATCCGCAGTAAAGTTGACCATTCTGTGTTTTATAGGATTACATCTCCTGATAAGTGTATCTATTTGTTAGTCTATGTTGACGACATCATTCTCACCGGAAGTGATCAAGACGGAATTCGTCAGTTAAAACAGCATTTGTTTAGTACATTTCAAACAAAGGACCTTGGGAAGCTGCATTACTTCTTGGGAATTGAGGTGGCGCAATCCAGACAGGGCATTTCTATCTGTCAAAGGAAATATGCCTTGGATATCCTAGAAGAAACTGGTATGTTGGGGAGTAAACCAGTTGATACACCTATGGATCCTAATGTCAAGTTATTACCCGGACAGGGGGAGCCGTTATCTGATCCTGGACGTTATCGGAGGCTAATTGGGAAGCTTAACTATCTTATTGTGATTAGGCCAGATATTTCTTTCGCTGTTAGTACGGCTAGTCAGTTTCTTGATTCCCCTTGTGATTCACATTGGGATGCTGCTGTGAGGATCCTCCGATACATCAAAGGAGCATCAGGAAAAGGTTTGTTGTATTCAGATCAGGGAAATACAAAAATTTGTGGTTATTCAGATGCTGATTGGGCAGGATCACCCTCGGACAGGCGCTCTACTTCTGGCTATTGTGTCTTCTTTGGAGGAAACTTAATTTCGTGGAAGAGCAAGAAACAACCTGTTGTTGCTCGATCTAGTGCAGAAGCTGAGTATCGTGCAATGGCAAATGCTACCTGTGAGTTAGTCTGGTTAAAGCAGTTGATTCAGGAGCTTCATCTTTGTGAACAGAAACAACCCATGACACTCATCTGTGATACTCAAGCTGCGCTACATATATCCTCTAATCCTGTCTTTCATGAGAGGACCAAACATATAGAGATTGATTGTCACTTCATTCGAGAAAAGCTTCAGTCAGGAGAAATCAAGACTGCTTTCGTCAACTCCTCTGATCAACTAGCGGATGTTTTCACTAAAGCTCTTAGAGGTCCTCGGGTTGAATACATTTGTAACAAGCTTGGTGCTCATAATATATACGCACCAGCTTGAGGGGGAGTGTTAGAATATTAGATATGATATGATTAGATATGATTGGATACCATCTTATCCGTAAATATTCTGACTGTATTCTGACTGTATTAGGATTAGGTTTGGGCCTTTCACTTAAGCCCATTAGGGTCTCTATATATTGTAACTCTCTGACACAGATCAATACACAACATATTATTTTATATTCAAGTGTTTCTGAATTCTGATTAAGATTTTTGGCAGATAGTGATGGAGTACTGTGGCGGTGGAAGTGTTGCCGATCTGATGAATGTGACTGATGAATCACTGGATGAGGGTCAAATAGCATATATCTGTAGAGAAGCACTGAAGGTATAGTTGATTGACTGGATAAGCACTGGATGTATTGACTGATTATATCCTATTTGTTGATTTTTCCTGTAACCTCTTCTAAAGATTTCAGCTGAGATGTTCTTGATTGCTGCAAATAGATTTTGGAGAACAAAATAGTTTATCAGAATTTTTTGTACCAAGTTTTCTGCTGTGTGTGTGTCTGTATGTTTTTGTTTTCTAATGTTTTCCTTAATTATGTGCAGGGACTTGACTATTTGCACTCAATTTTCAAAGTCCATAGGGACATTAAAGGTGGGAATATCTTGTTGACTGAGCAAGGAGATGTCAAGCTAGGTGAGGACACTAGTTATATTTGTGCAACATCAGCTGAAGTGCTCTTATCTATTTAATGATCATTGCTGATGATTATCATGTTTTCTAGCACATGAAAAGCATCAATATTATACATTCAATAAGTTGTCTCTTTTTTCCCCCTTCTCAAATAAATGTTAAATTCACTCATTTGTGTTGTAATTTTTCATTGAATTCTCATTTAGCAAGTAGCAGCAATGTCTTAGCTTATATGATTTAGATCAGGGGTGTCAAAACAGGTTATGACACGTGGGTCGACCCGTGAACGACACAAAAATTTGTGTTTGGGTTGACCCACAAAAAAATTCGTGTCATGTTCGTGTTGGGAAAAATGACCTGCAAAAAATTTGTGTCGCATGTCAAATCCGTGTTGACGTGTATTTTTTTAATTATTTATTATTATTATTTTAATTATTTTTTTTAAAATTTCATTCCATTTTCTTTATTTTTTTGGTCAATTACCGTTTTGACCCCTATTTTGCGTGTTATTTGTGTCGTGTCAACTTGCAAAAAATTCGTGTCATGTTCGTGTTGAAGATTTTGACACGAATAAAAATTCGTGTCGTGTTCGTGTTGATGTATTCGTGTCGTGTCAACATGTTTTGACACCCCTAATTTAGATGGATGGATAGAACAACTACTCTTCGTGTTAAACTATCGTATAAGATACCCTCTAGAAGCTATTTCTTCTACGAATGAGTGATTGCATGTAGATAATTTTCATACTTAATAAACCACGCCCCATTAAATCTCGACTAGCGAGGGTAGGGGTGAGGACAATTCTTGTATGCAGCCTTACCCTTGTATATTTGTAAAGAGACTGTTTCTTGGATTTGAACTCGTAACCTTTCGGTCACAAAGGAGTAGCTTTACCATTGCTGTAAGCGTGCCTTCTAATTTCCATACTTAATGTAACTACAAAATGGTCATGTGGTTGGGTCCCCTTATATTGAAAGATAAGGCTAATATTCTTCACATGGAATTAAAATTTTCAATTGATTGGTCTTAATTCATCATGGTGTTTACAATTAGAGCTGTCCTTATCTTTTGAGTAAGTACAGTTGTTAATAGTAATATATCTTCTAATAGGTGCTTGCCCATGCACGCACCAATATTAGGATTTTGGAAGGAGAACCTGACATTTTATTTGTTAACAATTAACGCTTTCTTCCGTTCCTAGTTATTCCAATGTTAACTAAAAATAAGATTGATAGCATTCAGATTTTCATATTTTAATATCACTTCCTATACAAAGATTAAATTTACAGACATCTCCAAGTTTAATGCTGATGACTTCAAAAACTCTGGAATGTACTACAAATTTATTATTTGATAGTCAATGCATTTAAATTTAGTTGTCAGCAGCATGTTATGAGGTGGATTTTGTTCTGTATATCGAGGTTAAAATTGACTGGTAATTAGGCTTCTAGGAAATTGGAGGAAGATATTGTAACAAGCAATTCTCTATGTACATGTAAGAATTTCTCTATGTATGTTCACTTCACCCATGCTTTCTGCATTTGTTTAAATTTGGATTTCATATCTAAGGCATTATTATTCTTGGACTTATGACAACAGACTGATTAAGAATCCTGGTTGACAATGAGCAGGGGATTTTGGTGTTGCTGCACAGCTTACGAGGACTATGTCAAAGCGCAATACGGTAGTTGTTGTGTAAACCTATTATTTGAATGATATTGAGTCAGATAATATGTGATGTGAGAAATAGGAACATTGTTTTAAAAGCTTAGAGGCCAAAGTTATGGTTTAGATGTAAGATTATTTATTTTTGATTAAATAGCAAGGTCAAGAATAAACTATTTTAACTTGCGTCACTGTATTTCAATTTTGGAATAAATATTAAATTAGAGCAAAAGTGAAAGGTTGCTATTAAGTGCTCAGCCTACGTGGTGACTGCATATCTTTATGTTTTTTGTTTGAATAAACTGTTTCTAGACATCCATCTCTGATTTTCTTCTAGCTAACAAACATCTGTCCCTGCATATTTATATTGTGTTTGCTTATTTAAGGTATGTGTTCTTTCCAACCCAATTGTACCCTTAAATTGAGATGGAGATTATTGTCTTTTGTGCACTGCTGCCGCTACATGAATATCCCGAGTTCCTGACAGTGGCATTGGCTTTGGTTACAAGTGTGCACCAATCAATAAAAAAAGTTGATTGGTTCTAGTATTTTTTACTCAATCTTTTGGTGCATGTAGCCATGTAGTTCTGAATAATTTGTACTGGAGGACATGTTCAATTCCCCATCCTAGTTTCTGTGTGCAAAAACTTTTTGTGACCTTCGAGTTGTTCTCAGTCTCGTTATAATTACTTCTTGAAAGTGACATGCACTTATATATTCAAAGTATTTTCCCAATAACTAGTTACTGCATTTGACTTGCATTGAGGTGTTTTTTGTGTTTTTTATATGGACATGTTATTCATTCTTTTATCCTGCAGGACTTTTGATGTTTTAGTTTAATGTGCTTGTAGTTCATTGGAACCCCCCATTGGATGGCTCCGGAAGTTATTCAAGAAAGTCGGTATGATGGAAAGGTATTGTGCTTTCCAGAATTTGCCAACCTGGTTTTCTTAGTTGCCACTAATGCATCTCCTCCTTGCTTTATTTCCATTTGCTTCTCCTTTTTCTTATTCTGTAGTCTGTAGATGGTTCTTAGGTTAGTAGTAAAAAACAGTTGTGCTATATTGCCTGACTACAGCATATATACGTGCATATATATAGTAAGTTTTATTTTCAATTGAAGAAAGGATTTTTTTTTAAATATTTGTGAGTTTCAAGATTTTTCTTCCTTCTTGGACCTCGTTCAAAATGTGATAGTGTTGATTTTATTTCTTGGATGCTTGATAAGCAATGAAATAATTATTCGTGGGAAAGTGAATGGAGGAATTGTATTGAAATGGAAATTACAATATTATGCAGTTTCCGTAAGTTAGTGGTTCAGATAATCAGAAACAGGAATGCAAATGGCTTTGAATTTTGAGGGAAGTGGTCGTAATGAATAGTAACTAATTGTATACAAAGTATGATTACAGTTCATCTCTGGTTAGAAATGTTATTCTTTGAAACCTTGTACAAGAAGTTGCTATTTTTTTAGTGTCTGCATTCTAGTGAAAAACCTGAGAACAAATTACTATGAATGAATAAGCAGTCATACAGTAATCAAAATATCTTGTTAAAACCTAGTCGGCACTTCTTTATGATGTGAGACACCGGAGATGTGAGATATCATGACAGTATAGGCATGTGAGTTACTGAGTTGTGTCTCTTCCCTTGCGGAAAATGTAAAATTAGTGGTGAGAATGAAGATCAAGAACTGGAAATATTCATGGCAATCATTCGAGAAGATGAAATTATTAAATTATCTGTGAATGTATCGAGCAATATAATACTGAAGTAAAATTGTGAATACTCTCATTGGAACTTTTCTAGAACCATTGACTTTGTAATTTATCTGGTACATATTAGAAAATACTAATTTATCAATAGAAAACTAGGCCAGTAATGATGTTAGTTTCTAAGCTAGGTTACTTTTATATCAGGAAACTTGGAAAAGGATCAGTAATATTTTGATTCAGTTCTATTTCTTCTTACAATATATCATTAATCAATGTCAAGATAAGTACATAGTTCTAATATGAAGTATTGCATAATTAGATAATTGGACTCACCTGTATATGATATGGTTTTATTTATTTAACCATGTTTTTCAGGTAGATGTGTGGGCTCTTGGTGTGTCTGCAATTGAAATGGCTGAGGTATTTTCTGTTCTTTCTTGGGTGATTCTAAGGTGGTGCAGGGAACAACTTATATTAGTTTGTGCTCAAGCTCCCTTCTGGGTACCCAAAATCATCTGGGTCCCCACTCCTATTACAGGAATTCCATGAAGGAAAGTTTATTATAAGTTTATGTTGTTGGGTTGTTGTCTATATACTGTTATTTATGGTATCAGCTCATGTTATTAAGTGGAAGCTTTATGTTAGGTCTCTTTCTTTATCCCGATGCTTATTAAAAAAATTCACTCATTCTCATGCTTGTATATGCTTAAATTCTGTTACCATAATTTCCAGGGTATGCCTCCAAGATCAGACGTGCATCCGATGAGGGTTAGTAACTTTGTACTTATTTGATATTGACTGTTTTATTAATAAAATAATATCTCTTCCCTCCTTCTTTCTCTTAAGTAATGTTTAACTGATAATTTATATTGATGTTCATATAATGTTCAGAGGATTTATCATTTCGTCCACTGTTACATGTTTGTCAGCTGGGAGGAATTTTTATTTTCGAGTAGGTGAATTAGGACGGAGAAACAGAAGAGTAACTAAGATAAATAGAAGTGACAACTGACACGCAATTGGTTAGAGGGAATGTACTCTGAAGAACTTGGTTAATTGCACACTTCCATAAGGCTTAGCCCTTTATGCTTCTTCAAAAGCTTCTGATACTGGAGCTTATCATAGTGCTAGGCCTGAGCCTGGGCCTTAATTTTGCCAATTTTCGAAGGGCCCGAGTCTGAAATCTGACAAATTTCTTTGTATAATTATGTCCTAAGCCTAGCTTGCAATCATGTTTATCTGAAACTATACAATAAAATCTGTTCCAAATACAAAGGGTAACCATGATTCATTAAAAACTCCAAAGGTCATGCAACATGGGCAGCGAAAATTTACAAGCTACTGCATACTGACCAACCTAAAATAAAATAAAAATAGAGAGAATCTTGCCTACTTCTTTGAGATATTCAGAGGAAGGTTTCATTTGTGTTATTGCTATTTATGTTATTTGATGAACCATTGATCAATAGACTTGTCTAAATGAACTGCAATTGGTTGCGTTGTGGCTCCAAAACACAAAGTAATTGATTGTTGTTCAAAAAAAATTACAAGAATAACATTTGTTAGAAGAGATCCAATGAGTTTTAAATTTACATTTTTAGTTATAATGGCATGCTTTATTTTCATTTATTTGGGGTAAATTGTATAATGATGTATCTTTTGTTTTTTTGTAGGTTTTATTCATGATATCCATCGAACCAGCTCCAATGCTTGAGGACAAAGAAAAATGGTTTATTTCTATACTATAATATCCAAGCTATACTTTAGCAGCTAATTTGTGAATCAGTGAGCTTGAAGAGTTACTTTTTGATGATCTAGAATGCTATTTGGTTTGGTTTAGATAATCCTAGTGATCTTTTTCCTCGTGCTATATTATATATTATGCTTGTTTTGTCTTTTATGAAGTCAGTGCCGAGTCACTGTTTTCTGCAATACTTGTACTATACAATCTTTCACTTTTAGACTTCATTATAATCTTAAAAGACACTCTATATTAAGATGTCATGTTAAATTGAAACCTCTTGTATGGTAAAAGTGAGAACTTGTGCTATCTCTTATTAGTTGTCTTTAAGATAGATGCTTAAGTTATGTATAAGCAAGAACCTCTTTTATTGACCTACTTAAGTTACATTTAAAGTTTGAACAAAATCTTGTAAACACATTTGCTCCTTCCCTTCTGTGAATCTAACACATTCATTGAAATGGTAGTACACTTTTATGCATTAAGGAGTAAGAATATAGGGTCGGCATTTTTTTTGTTGAGGAGGACTCCTTATACTCCAAATTCATTGTTATTTTTTCTCTTTGGCTTAATGAAATTTCTTTATACAAAAAAAAGAAAGAAAGAATACAAGTTTGGTGATTTGTTTGCCTAATGGTATAAACACAATATAAATTACCCTGATCATGTGTGCTAGTTAGTAAAGTTTCTCTTGATGTACTGCTGTCATTTTCATGGTGCCCATATCTTAGTGGTGTTCAAGATAGTGTCTCAATTCAGTGATTATACATTTGTGTATGACAATGTTTTTAATTTGTTTTTCTTTTGTAGGTCTCTGTATTTCCATGATTTTGTTGCAAAGTGCCTGACCAAAGAGCCTCGTCTCCGCCCTACAGCATCTGAGATGTTGAAGGTATGCTAATAAATATTGTTTCTAATGAAAATTTAGTGGCTATTAGGAGTCTTGAATTTGTTCAGAGCTATCCTTGTAAGTTAAAAAGTAGTGAGAAAGGAGAAAAAGTGAGTAACATAAAGAAGAGATGAAGTCAATCTGTATTTTGGGAGATTTAGAAGCTTCTTGATAGGAATAGATGGCGAATGGCTAGGTATAAAGCTGAGGGATTGGTGAAGCTTATTGTCTTGATGACTCTATTTTGCTTCTTTTTTGCGAGGAATAAAATTTAAACTATTAATCCTTCTCTGAGTATATGTTAATTCATAAAGATATATGTTTATTATTTAAGGTATTAATCCTTCTTTGAGAAAAAATGGTATTGCAAATGAATAACTTTTTTTTTTAACTTTATATAGGAAAACTTAAATAAAAAAACAATTTGTATCCCTTAATATGTTGTTAACTATGTTATAATTTGATAGTTGATTTCTTTGAAGCAATGATAAACAATATTAGTTATAAAAAAATATAGACATAAGTATATTCACTAATATATCTGTTGGTTAAAAAATGTGTACAATATTGGTTTAATTTTACTATTTAGTTTATGCATGAAAGTACTAAAATTAGAGCCTGGTATCATATTAGACCTGAAGTTTTTACAGTTCCTGTGATTTGAGCCATAATGGGTGGCTAGACAACTCCATATGTATGCCTTTATTAAATACCAAATTAATTTGGTTTATGCCTATCTAATCTGCAATTGCATATTTGCTTTCTTTAATTGTTGTATTTCCATTGAGTCAAGGTTCTTTTCTGTGGCTATGTAGCACAAATTCTTTGAAAAATGGAAAACTGGATCTGCTGCAATGTTGCCAAAACTAGAAAAGGCAAGGCAAATGAGGGCTTCAATGGCTTTGCAGGTGCAAACTCTTGCTCCAGCTGCATTGGGAGATCAGGTATGGCTAAAATTCCTCCCTTCCTCTCATTCTCTCTCCTTCTCTTTGTCTTCAGGCTCTCTTACACACATGCACATGTGCACATCTACTCAGACTCTTTCATCTCATCTACCTCCTAGATTTGAAAATTCCAAATAAGAAGGAAGTAATTTTCTGTGTAATACATGTTCTTAATCTGAAACAGTCAACGTTAGCCTCAAAGCTAAATGACGAATATGGAGATACTGTTCCATCCAGACCTCATAACATAGGGGTTGAAGGGGCTGCTGATCTTTCGTCACATGGGACTATGAGGAAGCTGCATAAGGTGGAAGATGTGGACACAAGTGACGGTTTGTGTTTCTTGCATCTCATCCATTGCTTGACTGAACTTTTTTTGTAAGGGTTGCTTAAAGTATGTGTTTTGCATTATATGGTGGAAGAAATTGGGCTTTGAATAGGCAGTGGGCATAAAAATTGCCACTTCATAGTCTGCTGAAATTGACAATGATTGGTCTGGTTGGACTTAGTTTGACCACCTTTTTGCATATTTGTGGTCTTGAACCTAGCTTTTAAGCACAATTGCTTAGCCATTGATGGACTGGTTTGGTTGTCATTCTGATTACAAGCAGTTGTCAAATGTATTTAACTTTTTTTTTTTTAATTATTATTATTAACTACTCATAATAACAAAATCATATTTTTGTATGTTTGAAATATAGTGTTAGAGGCTTTACTTCAATCCTCAGTCTATTGCTGGGATATTGTATGAATTATGATAGTTAATTTTTTCGACTTTAACTTTTAGCTTATAGTTTTTTAGGGTGAGGATGTGGGTGGGAGGGCAAAGGGCAAGTGGGTGACTGGTGTGGCTGTCTGCAAGGAGGAGCTTCTGTGTGGACAAACAAAAGTTATTGCATTCATTCATGCTTGTATTTAGAGCGAATGTGTGTTTATGTTGAAATCTCTCATAACTATTAGAAATGCTTCTTTTACTGGGTTTATGAAAGTTTATCTCATATATTGTACCTTTTCCGGCTGAACCATTGTATATGGTATATGATTTTTCCTATGCTGTCATCTTCAACTACAGTTATACTTGTTTGGATATAATTGTATTATATATTATTCAAGCACTATGTTGTTTATTTTGTTTATTTATATTTTTTTTCAATTTTACCAAATAATCTGGGTAGTGGTTATTTTGTAAACTTCGTGTGGTTATGCCACATGGGATGTAGACCAGGTGTTACCATGAATGCCACTGTAGTCAGGGATTACTAGGTTCAATCCTGACCTCAATTGTCACCATGCTACTTTCCGGCTGCCCAGACCGAGCATCTACTTATATTAAATCTGATTGGGTTGTGTTGTCTTTGTAGTTGTTGTCACTTAACCTATGTTTGGATTGAGAAAGAGCAAGTAGGGAGGAAAGAAAATTTTAAAAGTTTGATATTTTCTCTTGTTTGTTTGGGATATAGTTGTTGTTGACATTTCCTCTTGTTTGGTTGAAGAGAAAATGGAGACAAAAGTAAAGAAGAAATAAAATTCTTGAGAAACAAAAAATTCAAATTTTCTCTTCCTTTAAAAATTCAAATTTTTCTCTTCTCTCTTTTTCTTTCCTTTAATCTTTTCTAAAGTCTATATACTTCTTAAACTTGGAGAAATGAAGTTATTGTTTTTTTTGAAGTGCTTTTTTTTTCTGGGTGAAATATTGTGATTTATGTGGATTATTAGCAGGCAATTTTGGCACTGTAATAGTCCACGGAGATGAATTACATAAGATCACACAGGATGCAGATTCAGATTCCTTATCTGCTCTCACCAGTGACACTGGAGGCAGATTGGCTGACCCTGGGTACTTACCTATCTGTTTACCTCTGCTGCCTATATTTTTAGAGAAAGCATTTCTTTGTCATTCTGTCACCTTAATTTAAATAGTCTTAGCTTGTGCAAACTTGTAAAATATACATCATGCACTTATCAGAGCCCCTCTCTTCCTTTTGCTTTTGATTCCTCTCGTGTGCTAATGTTTCCTGTGGATAATATCTTAGGATTGAGAGTCAAAAAGTTGGTGAAACGAACACTGCCTCTTTTAGAGGATCTAGTTCTACTACAGATACCATACAATTGTCTTTACCTCGTTTAAGTAATTCAACTGAGCAGAACCTCACAACAGAAGGTAGTCATCAAGCACAAGCTGGAATTAGAAGTGATATAAGCACTAGCACACCGAAGAATGAAACAGTCAGCCGCAAAGCATTTGCTTTACAAGATAAGGTATTTTTGTAATTTGATTTATATATCTCCTACTGCGGTCAAACATAATATTCTCCTATGAGATCACTCCTTTTGAGCAGAGATTCTGTGTTTTTGGTTATTGGAGTCACTGTTTTGAGATTTTTAAGAGGTATAAGGACATTGTTTAATCTTCCTGCATCATTTGCTTGGCAAATATCTGGCTCTTTATATGTATATATCCGTATCTTTTGCATTCTTTTATGGCCTTCATGAATGTCTCTTGTGAGACTACAGTCTAAGATTTCTCATCTGTTTAAATATTTTTGCTATTGCAGCTTTGGTCAATTTATGCTGCTGGTAATACAGTGCCCATCCCATTCTTAAGGGCAACAGATATATCACCTATTGCTCTCCTGTCAGACAACGTGCTTGGTGGCATGCAACAGGATACCAGTGGAACTGGAACAGTGGAAGCATTGCAAGAGCTTTTTAGTGGTGATGGACAGTCCAAAAAGGGCCGGAGAGGATTAAATGAGGTGACTGTGTCTGTGTGTGTGTTCGCGTGCTTTTTATGCATTGTGAACTTCTTACAGTCATTTATATTTGTTTACTATTGACATGCAGCAGATGCCACTTCCTCCTAGCATTTACCAAAGATTAACATCAAGTTCTACTCTATTGAATTTGGCACAGGCTTTAGCTTACCATAAGATGTATGTCCCTTTCTCCCAATTTTACCACATTTACTTGAAAAAAATTGTTGTTTATTTGTGCAAAATTGCAAATGCTTGAATTGGATAACTATATAGGTTTTCACCTCTTTGTGCTTGTGTCAAGAAAGCACATATTGGGGCATTTGATTTCTGATCTGATGATTCCTTTCATCTCCTCCTGGGCATTTTGTATTGGGTTTCTATTTAAACGTGATTATTCTTAACGTAATTGCTTCTCTTGTTACTAGGTGTTACGAAGATATGCCACTGCAGGAGCTGCAAGCAACGCAGGAGCAGCGGACCATTCAAAATCTCTCTGACACACTTCGAACCATTCTTCGGTTGTAGGAAGGTAGATAGATCTTATTGCCTTTAGTCTAAATCCCCTACCCTTACTGGCTGCAAAAATCACCTGTGCCGTTTCTTGTCCCATTGATATGATAATTTCTTACAGATTAATGGCAGAGAAGCAATAGTTTTTTTTTGTTTTTCAAGGTGTATGGTTGTGTGATTGGTACTCAAGGTTTGCTAGTTTCTTTTCACTTTCTGAGTCTGTATTTAAGTAAACCCTAGAAGAATAGGGTTTAAGTAAGCTGTAACATATTTGTATGTAAATATTGTGTATCTTATATCTATCAACTAATAATGTTGCACGTACACATGCTGTAATCACTAGTGGGATTTTTGGAGTAATTCAAGAACTTTGTGTACCCATACTTCAATCACAAGATGGAGGTTTTCTCGAGTTTCGTTCAGTGGTTCCGTTTGGATTCGCATATCAGAATTAAGGTTTGTGTTCATGTGTCATGCACAATTTTTCAAAAAACATATCACAATTTTTATTTATTTATTATTATTATTATTATAAAACAAAGAGCAGCTTTAAGAGAAGTACGTGGAACCTTATTAATAGACAGGAGAGGTTCCTTCTCTTAAATTGCAATGTAACTTGCAAGCAATCTTCTCACATAATGTTTGTTAAAATCCATCGTAAATAAAAGAATATACGATACTAGTGTGAGTTTAAGAGAGTTGAATGAATTTTTTCCTAAATAAAGTACTGCATAAATCAAGAAGGTTAGCAGTAGAGCTTGATTAAGAGGTGGAATCAAGGATTTCTTTCGTCCCTCTACTTTGCAAGTCGGGATTTCATGGGGTGGTTAAAATAATGCATGAAGGGAATGCTTCTGACATGCATACTTTCCGAAGCCCATTTGTTTCCAACCATTGAAATAAGGAAAATAGATATGCGCGATCGAACAACCCAAGCATGAAAAACCAAAGAAATAGCAGTGCGAACGCTATATTATCTATAAGGATCACAAATATATCATAATGATTGGTAAATGAAGGCAACTTCATGAGAAATTGGCTCGGAACCGAAGATTGCTTCTTGATATATACTTGCGATTCCTCATATGTCTAGTCTTCAAGGTAAGATCTTAGTATACAGCTACTCTTCACATTAGCTCATTTTCAATAAGTCTACGACGTGTTGGCCTCTATCAACTAAAATTTTCAAGCATAAGTTTTGGCCTGAACCTTGATAAGTTTACTGTTGCCTTGCTAACAGTTATGCAAGTATGCGCGCAAGTATACGCGACAATAAGTAATATAAGGCTTTTGTGAGTCCCAGTTATCGTTCTCACAAGGATCTTTGGCGTTTTTGACTTGACTAAAATTGTAATTACTAATCAGAACCAAAAATAAAATAAAATCAAGTTAAGTGAACTGCTATTCTAAACCAAGTGCAAGGAAAATATTTTTGAGAAGATTTTCTTTTTCAAATAGAGATTCAGTTGATGCAAAAAGTTGAACTACTGATTGAAAATTAATTAAATGAAAGCATTGTAAATTTTTTATGATTTTCTCTTAAGTTTTAGAACAGAAAATTAAAATTCTGATTTGAACAAAAATAAAGAGTAGCAACAAAGATTGATTTAAAAACAGTGTTTAAAAACAAGTTGGATTTCAATTTCCCCTTCCCTCATTTGCTATTAAGTTGCTTTGATAGAAAATAGATGTTGCTTTTTTAACAGTTCCAGCTTAACGAAAATACTCAAACAACCATTATTTCCCAACAACGGTTTTTTTCCCATAAATAACAGATGATACATCCCTGTGTCATCTGTTATTACAAGACCTTGAAGAACCATTTCCTTAAGTTACATGGGGGTAACTTCATCCCTGGAGCCATACCCATTGAGAGATATCTCACTCAACTTTCCATGTGCTTACTGTGAAGTCTAGTGTAGGTTATTTCCCAATAATTCCACACCACTAGGAGTAGCCTATGTGTAGCCATCACATGTCAAACTCAGCATGAAAAAATACACAGTAAACAAACTGAAATTAATACTTTAAGCCTTAAAACAACAACTAATAACAAATGAGTTCTGTGTGCTCTTTCAACCCAACTCTAAAAGGTTTAGCTCATCACCATAGGTTTATGAGCATACAAACAGCAAAGAGAAATTACAAACATGAATTAAAAAAAACTCCCAACAAAGAAAATTAAAAGGCAGAAGCTATATCCAGAGAATAGCTCTGCTACAGTGCTCAGAAAAATTACACAAATTAAAAACCCTAAAAATAGAACAGAACTAGTAAAAATTAAATCTAAAGAGATGAAGAGAAGAAGAGAGCAACCCTACAATGCTTTTCTCCTTCCTTTTATAGCTGATACTCCTTCATGCATAACGGTTCACACCTCAACCAGCACGTGTGCTCCACGCTCTCCCCAATCGTGCGTTGCCTTTGCAAGGATAGCACCCGCACTCAAAAAGAATCTTCAGCCCACACTCCTAACAAATTACAGCTCACTAAATCAGTTAGGGTAGTGTTTGGCTTTTTCATGTGTAGGTTGGTTTGGTTCTCAAAAGGACCGTGGGTGAGGGCTAAATCTTGATGGCTAAACCAAAATCAAGGACCAGTATGTCTTGGAGGTTCGATTTGTATGGGTGGCTTGAGATGGGGTTTGGATGGAGGTGGGTTTGCTCACATGGGGGCTGTGCTAGGGTTCGCAAGTTTCCTTTTTTTGGTTTCACGCTTCTGAGCCTTTTCTTTTTTCTTTCTTTCTTCAGTTGGGCTTCTGATTTGTTTTGTAATGGTCCAACCCAATTCTTCATTTTTTTTTTCTGTTCTTTGATTGGACAGTGTCACAAGTGGGCCTAAAGAATACAAATACAAGCCCATTAGCACTTAAATCAGAATCATTCAACTCAATGCATTTGGGATTTCTAATAACACAAAAGTATTCTTTTATTTCCATTTGCATATTAAAATCATATGTTTTAAGTCATATTTCATGGACTTATCATTTACACAAAAGCTAAATTAATATATTGTTAAAATAAAAAATACAGAGTTAAGATGATTTGACATTCTCATATTTTTTCTATAATACTCTAAACAAACGGTGAAAGATCCAATTTGCTTACCATTTCTACGATGCAAACCGGAATTCCTGTTGGTGTTAGCTACGTCACTACCGCTACATGATAAAAAAAAATCATTATGTGAGTACATATGAAACTCAAGGTAGAGTTTGATATGTCATTGATTTTTGAGAAATACGGTTCTGTTTGTTTATTATTCTGAAAAACTATTTATTGTTTTTTAGAATAAAAAAGAGAGAAGAAGGTTATACTTACAACCTTTTTTTTTATAACCTCTTACAACCATATCTTCACACCGTTGATTTCCTCCAATCAACGGTTATTATTTATTGTGAATTAATAATTAATTAATGAGTTTAATTTGCGAAAATCATAACCGTTGATTGACAGAAATCAACGGTGTTAAGATATGGCTGAAAAAAAAAAGTTGTAAGTACAATCTTCTGAAAAAAAAAAATAAACTTTTTATCAAATAAGTATTTTGTGATGAATGATCTAAAAACAATATTTGTTTTTGTACGCAAAATGGAAATATTTATTTGATAAAAAGTTTTTTTTTTTTTTTTGAAAATACTCCAATCGGTTCATTGCTTCGCAACTAATTCGATTCGGGGCGGATCCAGGATTAACGCTTTAAACCCCTCCCAAATCTCCCCAGTACCACCTTTGGGAGGGGTTTAAAGCATTAATCCTGGATCCGCCCCGAATCGGATTAGTTGCGAAGCAACGAACCGATTGGAATATTTAAAAAAAAAAAAAAACCCAAAATGGAGAACATTCGGTTGTTACCGTACGGATATTAATCTTAACGATTGAAATTCTGTTACTACAAAATCATCTACCCTTTAGTTTTTTCTGATATATTGTAGATTGATTACCTGATGTGGGATGCTATATGCTACTGTTTGGTTCAAGAGGGGGAGGGGGTTGTATCATCATCATTATATGCACATATTAAGTTTCTTTCTTTGTCTTTTAAAAGAATGGGGCAATTATTACGAAAGAAAAAGAGTTTGATGGCAACGCGAGTCACTACACGCTTCCTTCTAATACCTTATAAACTGTTGTGTCTTGTTTCTAAATTGGGATGACTTGTGATCTTTTTATATCTGATGCCCTGCGGTACTGTGGATTTCCTCAACTTTCGTTTAAAGAAATGGTTGAGATCATTGATCAGTCAAAAGTTTGGCAATTGTGCCAACCATAGTTGTTAAAATTTTGATTTATCACTACGATTTTACGATTTTTTTTCATCAAAACGATTTTATCAATATTCCAGATTCTTTTACGTTTTTACAATCTTTTACAATTTTTTTACATTACGATTTTACGTTTTACGATTTTTTAATTCTCTTTCGATTTTACTTGAAATATCGATTTTAACAACGCCAACTACAATTATAGCTATTGCTTTTAATAGATCAAAAGCCTTATTGGATGTTTTCAATGAATGGCTTAATGGGCTTCTGTCCATGCAAATTACCTTTGCACTGATTCTCTTCCTCATGATGTTCTCTAAAGAGCAGATCATGGAGACCTTTAAGGTTGGGCCTCTTCTTGGTTTGAGTTAATAATCTCACTATTCTTTCATTTCATTAATTGTTAATTTTAAGATCTCTGAAGCAACTTCCTCATGGTAAAATGTTATGCTTTTTTTTTGATAGATTATTTGACAACACAACGAATTGGGTGTCAGTAAAATTTTCCTATGTTTAGCTTTGTCTCTGCAACTATCAATATTTTTCTCTTGTTAGTAATGGTTATCTGTCTAGATTAACGGTCAGATTTAATCTGATTTAATCTTTTTCTCTGCAGCTATCTTATTTGTCTGTAATAGAAGATGCAGTGGCGGAGCCACATTCTGGCCTGCAGCTGCTTTGACACTGGCTTATTTACTCACGTTCATTTAGCTACACTTGAAACGTAGCAAATTCTGTTTCAATTTTTTTGAAAATTAGCTAAGTTTTGGTCGTAGCCAAAGAACCGTAGCTATTTGGGCACTGGCTGAATATTTTGGCAGTTGCTAACATGTCACTCTGGCTCTGCCACTGAGAAGATGTGGAGAATTTGTATTAAAACTTGTAGGATAAATAAGTTTCCTACTTGCCTTAATATTTTTCTTTGACAAGTTGCTTTCATGAATATTTTTCTAACACAACCAATTTTCCTTTGATATTCATGAATGAACCTCTTCCCGAAGCCAAACATAAAAGAAATTATCCTCCTGAATTAGGACAAACAAGTAGATTAATGCTCCAGATTGGGTGTAAGACTTCTAACTCTTACACCAGTGTAAGAATATCGTGCCTC